TCCAACGAGCGTTGCCGATGCTAGTGTTCGTATTGGCACCCCAGTCCTCCGTACTAGGTAATGCAAACTGTCATGGACAGAAAAACTGGACCTCGGTGAGTGGATCAACCCCAGGTCGATCCCGCGGCCGAATTGTCGGTGGTTCTACTAATCTATTAACTTTCACGTTGGCATAAACCTACGGGTACAGAGCACACCTACATGTAAAGCCAAGACACTGCTGATCAGTAGGCGAATTTGTCCCCAAGAGAATCAACAGACTTTACGATTTGTTACAGATATCAAACTTAAACAGGCCTATTTCAATTCCTCAGATCGAATCCTACCATGAGCGGAGGCTGATGTCTTACTTGGGGATAGTGTCACCACATGGGGGAAACTGAAATGTGCTGAGCTCTAAACCCTAGCCCCAAGAATTCAGTTGAGGCAACTTTACACACTGTGTTGCCCGGAAAACAGAGTAGACAAAGATGCAATAGGTACCGATTACGAGAAGCAACACTCAATCCAAATTTGCATCGAGTCTATCAACGACACGCCAACCCTAACGACGCTTCCATAATGTCTTCTACGCCGCAAGCACCCCCTCATCCACGAGACTGGAAGTCTGGAGTGGACGAATATCTTACACAAAACGGGGTCTCATATGATACAGCAATACCTCTCAACACTGGTACATCATGTTACATCTGGCGACTCGAAGGACTGGTCGATGCGGAGGCCTCAGCCAATGGTCATCAGACAGGCCAGCCAGTCATAATGAAGTGCGCCGACAGCACCCCCAAATACCGGAACTTCCCAGTCTCACCGGAACGACTTCAGTTTGAAGTCAAAGCTCTGAGATCCAAAGCAGTGGAAGAAGCTTGCCATCAGGAGCCATCAGTCCAAGTCCCGCGAGTGCTCCGAGAAACAATGAACGGTTTCATCATGAGCAATGTCGGTGAGACTGATCTGAGGACGGCCTACAAGACGTACGAGTTTCTGGATGCGCCGGGAATTGGTGCGCGACTGGGTCGATGGCTGGGTAGCCTGCATGTTGCTGGTATCAACCTGGGCCCCGACGGATGGAGCTCTCATCATAATGAGTTGGACAAGTTCTATGTACCTGGTGGTCTAGCGGAAAAGGCTATTAAAGACGCCATGAACGACGAAGAGTCGGAAAAGGTGCTAACAGCAATGCGCGCACCCGCTCCTATCCACACGCTGACGCCTTGGGACTTTCGGCCTATGAACATTGTGGTACGTGTTCCCGATGGCAAGGGAATGGCCTCGGATCTTGCGGTCGTGGACTGGGAGTTATGTCACTACGGTGATCCTTCTAACGATGTTCGCATGTGGTTTGCTGAAGTTGTCATACTGGAGGCAAAGTTTGGCAATAGGGGCCTGCTCTCGTCGTTTTTGTCGGCATATAAGCAACGGGTTGGTAGTGCTGTCGTAGACGAAGCATTCGTGTCCAGAGTTGCTTTGAGTGCCGGCATTTATATGCTGTGGCTTATTCCCATCAACCCTCGAGTTTGGGATTGCACCGAGGAGGATGTGGAATCTTGGAAGAGAACAAGCCTAGAATATATCAGGGCAGGCGCAAATGAAGATGTCGCCTGGCTGAGACAATGCTGCTTGGGGCCTTTGTTGGCATGATGGAGTGTAGATCGGATATATGAGAGATAAAAGATTTCTGAAGATCACATATTTCTACTCTTCAGTGTGCATTTCGATGTGAGGTTGATAATGAAGTCAAGAAAATAAAAATCTTTCAAGATCTTTGGAATGCTTGATTCTTTACAATGCTCAAAAAACTCATGCTTTCTAGAACAAATCAGGAACTATATTTCTCTCTACCTAGGCCTTTGCATCACGTTATTCCATGAAGAGACAATATCGACTAGCATGTTTAGTCTAAGATTTCCCGTTCGTCTTGCTGGGGAGCCATGCAATATCTGCCGATGCCCTCGACTTTCCAAAATCCGCGCCTGGGTAATTATACGCAGTGTACGCTTGCGCCCGCTTTCCATCTCGCACTGGAACGCGGAATCCCAAAAGCCCCAGCTGTCTGTCAGATAATTTTGCCTTGGTCTCCGCATTCATGAGCTCCGGGTAGTTCTCCATGGCCTGCAAAAAGAAGCGGCAGAATGCTGACAGAATGATAGGTCGTGTCGTGTCTGACGTGTTCACGCCAGTCGAGTGCCAGGTTCGGCTGTCCAAGAGCACACATGTTCCAGCGGGAGCTGCCGCCGGTACGGATCCGCCCTAGTAATAATGAATAAGATATCTAGCAAATTTTGGGCAACCTATGAGGCAAACAAAATGGCAATGACTTACAACTTGATTAATAACAGGCGGCGCGACATTCTTGTTGTGAGACCCGGGATACATACGGGTGGCGCCTCTCTCTTCCGTAACATCCACCAAATACCACATAGCATTCAAAAGGTAAGCGTGATCGATTGTCTCGGGGGTGAGTCCCATCTGATCACGATGCATATAGATACCAGACTTTGCAGGTCGAGCAATGTTGGCGCCCATAGAATGGAGCTTGAACGCATTACCTAGGAACCAGGGCATAATTGCATCGATAAGAGGATGATTCAAAAGATCCAAAAACTCATCGCCTTTGTTGGGAAGACTCCTATATGAAATTATCAGTTGGCTGTGTCCAATACGACTCAGAAGAAGCCAAAGCAATCTTGCAAGATGAAAGGCACAAAAGTCCAATGTTAGCTTACCAGACTCGTTGATTCGGTTGATCGTCAGCATGCACATGGGAACCGTCCATGTGGGCTACACCGGCCAATCGTTCGCCAGCTGCTTGTTCTTCAACAGCAGCCTTGAGAATCTCAACCTGATCCGCCGAAAGAGCATTCTTCACCATTGCGTATCCCCATTTCTGAAGATCGCGTTTAATCTGCTCAGCGTCCTCGGTGGGTTTTGGCAGATCTTGAGGATCCAGCTTATCTGCGTTGACAACAGACTGGGGACGTCCGCCCGGAGCAAAGCACATTGGGAAGCTCCCACGACACGGAGGCTTTGCGCGCTTGCCAAAGGCGTGAACTGCGTGCATGCGGCCTTCAATGACATCGAGGATGTACTCCGGCATAATATTTACCGTGACTCCAGGCTGAACATCATCTGGGATGTTATCGAGCAGTGCTGCACTCGTTGATGTGGAATCAATGAAGATAGGGGGACTCAAGTACTCTGATCCGTCCCCGAGCTTGAGCTCAACGAGAGTACCAAGTCCATCAAAGTCCTAGATATTATAATAAGCTATGGCCTAAATACTGTGGCTACAGGAAAAATGAAGACCATCATCACTGAGTTACAATTACTATGAAATGATCCAACATACTGCCAGTCTTTTCTCGATGTATTCACGAACGCGAGAAACATTCTGCTGAAACACCCTTAGAGGGTCATCTCTGGTTACATCGTAAGGCTTGCCTTCGAAGACAAGCCCAGAGATGAGGGAGCTAGCCGGTGGCGGAAGAGTCGATGCCATGTTGGGTCGTTGAGCAGCAATAATCGAGGTGAAAGTTTTGAAACTGGGGAAGGTTGGAGCCTTGGAGACTTCGGATGGTGCTCACAGTCTCGTGATGAGCAATGGATAATACTCAGGAGGTTCAGCTCAAACCTACTATGCACTGCATCGATATATTCTGTGTTATCCGCACTGTATATGCACACATAGACCCCACCTTAGGCATCGTAAAAGGTGCCGTAGCCGGCTTGGGTTCATGACTTTGCTCACAATGTCGCAGTGAAAGACCCCCGTTTTTGCCCAGGTTGCATTACGTGGCTTTCTGACGAGAAGTTACATTTTCGGTTCAAGTGGTGAACTTTTCTGTGCTGGAAAGATGTTGCATGACCTTGCTTGTTGATGTTCACCGCTTCACCCGCCGGTCTAGATTTAGAAGTCCTCTCCACCTCCGATCAAAGTTCTACTTGCGAAGATTAGTGATAGGAAATTCTTAAAGTCTAACTTTATGTGCGTATGCAGGTCTGAATAATAGCGAGGTAGAATGACTACCTCGGTAATGCCTATCGTTTGGGTAAATAGGAGTGTCGATAGAGTTAGGCGAAATTATACTTATTCGTACAACGAACTTGAGTTGAAATAGACTTTGCAGGCGTGCCTCGTAACGTCGGATTCGTATTTTAGTCCCTTACTGCGTAGTATCCGTACTAGTCAGTTATATCGGGTTAGCGCCAAGCGGTCGACGTTGCCGACCATCCATGTCTCGGCCGGGTATCGAAGGGCTTGGTGAACACTTATCCCCCACAATCAATCCGGTCTCCCGGAGCCAAGCGCTCTGTCCTCTTGAGTCATGAGCTTCAGTAGCAAGTCCGGTTCGGGCCATTGTACGGATACTCTCGACTACGGATACATGTGTAATGACAACCGGGGTCCATTGACGCGCCGCTCTCGGCCGGTCGCCGGTGATTAAGGCAAGGAGGTTACCATTCAGAAATTTACACCGGGGTTTTCTTCTTAGTTCTGATAGCTCACGATTCACATTCGACATGTAAGATGCTTCCGGTCACCGTGAATCCCGCGGATACGGGACTTTCTTCCGGCCGGCACTCCGTGTCTGAAAGCTCACAAGGACGCAGGTGAGAGCACGGCCCTCTAACACAAGATTACAGAATTTCCTGGGAAGAGCGGTTAATGAAGATTTGCCGACTACATTTGCGGAGCTTTACGGCATTCGCCGCACGTCATTTGTACAGTAGAATCATACCCCAAGACGGAGTACCCGATTAGATGCTGACAGTTCCACCACGTCGGGACGAGAATAAAGTTCAGGGTCCCAGCTGACGTGTTTGTATCTGTACCTCGACTAGGAAACTAGGTATCTAACGTTTGAGGCCCTGGTTGCATTCAGTGGAGAGCTCCATGCCTCATGCCAAGTATTCTTATTTCTGAGCTATGACACTACCGAGCGCAGGAGCGCATTCGTTCTCCAGACAAAGCGAGGCACACGCTTACAATTCGCGCCGTCAAGTTAGAAGTACATTGGCCTTGCATCAGCGGTGGGGGCTGGGACAGCCTTCGGCTCAGGCGGTGTAACCCACTTCTTCCACGGCTGAAGTCGACTTTCTTCTGGGAATGGACCATTAGGACCAGGCCCATCCTTCTGATACGGCGCGGGCTCCAGTACAATGAATCTTGCCTCAACACTGTACCGCGTTGGGCAGCCGGGCCGAGCCGCTCCATTTCGAAATGCAGCATGGGGTACAACTATGTGCGGAGCTCATTAGTTAAGGTTTCTTGTCCATTGGTCGACTAGGCCAGTCTCGGTCACCACTTGGCGGGCGGTGATATGCTCGCGCCAATTGATGATCGGCAACTTACTGTTGAAAAAGCCACCTGGCGGGTGGGTGTCGTACTGTGTCATGATAACAATCTCGTCAGGGGTCTGGTTGCTCATCCAGTACCATCTGTGGGCAGGATTCCAGGAAAAGTAGGCAACTTCCTTGGCTGCTTCGTGGGTGATGCGGTCAACCGAGACAACATCGGCGAGATCGATGTTAGTCCTTGGATCGCACACGGCGAAGGGAATGTCCTCGGCATGATTGAACATCGGGCGCCAGATACTAAACAAAAATGTCAATCACAGCGAAGCCGAGGAAGAGTTTTGGTCGCTGCATACTTGATAATTCTCGCCCGACTCTGGCCTGAGAGAACGCGTTGCCGTTCTTCCTCGGTCAAGAACAGCGATATTCTGCTCCAAGAACTGGCCACGGTATTATCTGCAGCCATAATTCGAATTAGCGGTAGAAACGAACAATGTGCCGACGAAATAATGAAGATTCTCTTACCCAAGTGGGCGAAAGGAAGGTGTCCTGTGCGGCCTCCTTGCGAACGTGCATCTCGAAACTGATTTTAGGTCAAGTGTGATTAGCAAGTATGATATTGCCACCTAATGAAGGCTTCTGTAATCAAAACTAGAGTAGTCACTAACATTGGCATTGATGGGGAAAATCTCATCTGTACCAAATCGAGATTTTCTGCGAATCATCAGCGTCTTCTTTGGTTGCGCAGCTATGGTGCAAACGTACAAAAATTGAGCCATCTCTTCCAAGTAAGGTTTACAGTCATCCGCTCCAGTCATTTTCGAGAGCTCTTTGGACTTGTTCTCGAGGAAACAGAAGCCGTTCTCCTCAATAGTAGGCTTGAAATCTGGCAGCGTTCGTATGTCGGTCAGATTAAGCTTGAATTGCCCACTCGTCAACATCGTCGGTCTTTTTTTCCAACAAAATCTGCCTGAAGCTTACTTCCATGTCCTTCATGACGAAATTCGACTTGGGGAACGACTGCCCGTCAGGGCCATCCCAGGAGTACGGCTTCGCCGTTTCGTGGAGATCAGTTCTCTCGAAGAAGGCAGTGACTGCTGCCATGATTGTCAATGATAACTGGAAGGATAAAAATGCGGAAGCGATTGCGTGTTACAGGAGTTTGTCCAAAGATGGGATCATCAGTGCCATCTTCAATGAGAGGCGTCACGGAGCATACTTATGCCCACTTGAGTACCGAGCTTGTCATAGTCTGGTACGAGGCAAGCAGTGGCGTGAAAGCACAATATGATATGACTAGACAACTGTCCCAGGTGCAGGGGATAGGGGTTGAGCGGGGAACCAAGGCCGGGCAGATTTGTGCGCTTTTTGCTGCCGTCTTAATGTCAGGTCCCAGCCCCTGCCCTCCGTCACCTCAAAACGCCGGCCCGCCTCAACCGACGGAGTCGCGCGATATATGAACTCGACTCGGGTGAGACTTCTTCGGCCGAAGAGCCGAAGCATTACACCGGGACCATCAGATTTTCATCATATTCTTGTTGTACAAAGGAGTCTTTCTTTTTAAGATGTTATCATTTTTATCATCAGCCGGGCTGTTTTGCCTTGTGATTACGTCGTGGCTCGTGATAGTCGCGATATTGCGCGCCGTTTACAACCTCATTTTCCATCCACTGGCAAGATACCCAGGCCCGCGACTGGCAGCTATCACCCGACTGGTTCATGTGTACCACTTCGTGAATGGCGATGCTGTCGGCTGGCTCGATAAGCTCCACGCAGAATACGGCGACGTTGTGCGCGTCGAGCCTGGCCGTCTGAGTTACATCACACCTCAGGCTTGGAAGGACATATATGGGCATGCGACGGCCACTCGTAAAGTTAACTCGAAAGAGAGGAAAAACAGCAAGAATCTCTTCTCTAACGGGAGTTACTCGATTTCGTCAGCTCACGGTCCCGAGCACCAGCGCCTACGCAAAATCTTCAGCAATGCGTTCAGCGACCGCGCCATCACGAAGCAAGAACCTATGCTGGCGCTTTACGCACAGCAAATGGTCGATCTAGTTTGTCGGAAGATCTCTAGCGAGAAAACCTCTCCTGGAGCTGCTGTCATGGATGCAGTCCAGCTCTTCAATTTCGCCACGTTCGATATCATGGCAGATCTTGCATTCGGCGAAGCACTTGGCTGCCTCGAGAACGGTGGATCAAATGCTTGGGTCGACGCTGTCCAGGTGAATTTCAAGCGGATGATCGTCAAGGCAAGGTTGAGGCCTTACCCGGTAATCTCATATTTGTGGCATCTATTACAGCCGGAACAAGATAAGAAGGCTGCTGCTGTGCACGTTCAGAGCTCGCATGAGCGTGTCACGAAGAGGTTGGCCAAGGGCGCTGATGCCAGGAACGACATCTGGGGGCTCGTTCTCAAGGCCGAGGGTCCGAACGCGCTGACTCGTACTGAAATGAACAACAACGCCAACAACTTGTGAGTTGCTCCTGGTACCTATCTGAAGCTACGCATGTTAGTAACTGACACACGCGGTTTGCCTTTTCCTACTTCTAGCATGATAGTTGGCACTGAGACATCAGCGACAGCGCTGAGCGCTCTCACATATCTTTTGCTGAAGTCTCCGAGAAAGCTTGAACGACTAGTTAGAGAAGTGAGATCTGTTGGCGACTCGAACCAGCTGAAAGGCGATGTTCTCAAAGACTTGCCGTATCTTCAGGCGTGCCTCACCGAATGCCTCAGATGTGCGAAGAGTTTCCAGTCTCTCATTAACATGAAACACAACTGACGGTTCATCGTAGTACACCCTCCTGTCCCGACGGGTGGTATGCGTGTCATTGGTGAAGGGGGCAACACCATCCTCGGTCATCTTCTCCCCGAAGACGTTAGTATCACCTTCTTCAGTATCATCTCATGGCCCTTTTGATGAGGGCCCGTTCCATGGCTAATTGAACCACCTTCTAGACTAAAATGTCGATCGCGACCTGGACCGCCTTCCGCATCCCTCGGTACTGGAAAGATGGCAACGAGTTCATCCCCGAAAGATGGATTCCAGGTGAGCGTGGGTACGATGAGTACCACACATACGACCAACATAGTGTGTTCCAGGTATTTGGGACCGGTCCGCGCGCTTGTATTGGCAAGAAGTAAGTTTTCCGAACGTTTTTCGAAGGCCAATGCCATCGCATCGATATAAATTCGCTGACCTGTTGGACCAGTCTTGCATTGCAGGAAATGCGTCTCTTGTACGCCACCTTTTTGTTCCATTTCGACATGGAATTATGTCCTGAAAGTGACCGATGGATGGAAGATCAGAAGTGTTGGACTTTGTGGTTCAAAGATAACCTTCAGATTTGGGTTTCCCAGAGGAAAGAAACGTGAGGTCACATTTAGAAAAAGCAGTTCAGTGGTCACGTAACTAGCTGGAAGTGACGTTGATTCAGCAGTTTTGCTCAAGTGAGAGGTATGAGGTAAAACGTATCGCTAAATACATGTAGAAACGGTTTCGTCTGATTAAAGCAAACTAGTGCATGATATCCTTTTTACCAAGGTGTCGAATGTGGTTGGTCATCTTGATAATATCCTCTCTTTTCTGAGGAATGTGATGTCCTCCTTCAAAGTTGATAACATGAGCGGCCTTCGAGGAGTAATGCGTTGCAAGAGTGTTTCTCGCCTGCCCTAAGTTGCAGTCCTGACTGCCGTGAAGATGCAATGTAGGCACCGAAATCTTGGCAATGTCACTGCCCTCTGACTTGCTGCGGATATAATCTGTCGCGACATCACTATAAGCGCAACAGACCAACACTCCAAACTCCAATCGCGGGAGCCACGGCACCAATCCCACCTCCTGCTCCCACAGCAAGACTGTACTTGCTAGCCCGCCCTGCGAGAAGCCCAAGACACCAACAATTTTGACGTGCTCGTTCTCCAGCTGCCAGTCCTGTACTGCCATTTTGATGGCTTCGTTGAACACGGCAACTTCACCTTCGGTGTCGGTTGCGCCCTTGCGAAACCAAGAGAAAAACGACTTCATTCCGGCAAAGAAGGGAAGAACATCTGGGCCGGGGACGGCAACGTGGGGTGCGGTGGCAAACACGAACTCGAAATCCTCTTTGAGAGCTGCACGGAAACCCGCGAGTTGGAAACGGAATATGTCGGGTGAAGCACCGCCACCATGAATGCAGAGGATGGCCCGCGTTGGCGATCTTTTCAGTGATGTGACCATTGCGGCTGTGGATGGACAGGTATTTCTCTGCGTATGGGTAGAGAAATAAGACGGAGATGAAAATCTTGCCTCAAAATGTATAAGATTTGTGAAAAGAACGAAGTGAGTGAGTCTGGTGTGCAAGGTTTTTTGGTGCTGGAAGTATGAGTGGCTCCGAGGACAGGTGAGGAGAGCAATGTTCGGGAGATATTTATGTGCCTCGATGAGTTTATCGCATCAGATGAAAGAAAGCACAAGCCCACGGAGGCTTTGAACAAGGTACTTCGGCCGATTTCAGTGGGTCAAGGTAGATTTGAGGAAGAGAGCACTGTATGACTTTCTCCCCGGGCTTTATCGCATCATGCTGGCTCGACTTGATGACTTTGGCCCGCGGACCTTGAGCAGTCGGCTAGAATGTTCTCATGTTGGTTGCTACTTTTCTTGAGAGAGGTTGGCAGGATTATGGCTCCTTCCAATGAGCATGTCTCCTTAGTTATCTGAATATCAAATCAAGCATTCATGCGTACAACTACTTTCTCTCCAGAGAGTACCTTGTTTCGGACCATTTCCATCCCCGCCAGAATTGCCTCGAATCCACCATCTAAAACACGAAGCGGATGATGTTGCAAGTTTCCTTCGTTGATCAACTTCTCTACAGTTTCCCAAACAGAGACCCCAAAGACGCGCAGTTCTTCCGACGGATCGCTCTTGTAGGGCTCAGGCCAGGTGCATCCTTCCCCAAAGATTCGAGGGCCGACTGTAAAATCCGCGGTGACAACTTTTCGAGTCGCAGCATGCTGTTGCCAAGGGTCAAGAGACACGTACTTGCCGCCGCCTCGTCCGATAGCAGCGTAGCAAAAGGCGGTAGACTCGACGGTCGTGATGCAGTCCAAGGCATATTTCAGGTTCCCTTTCGTGTATGTTTTCTGAACGTGAAAAACAATCAGTCAGTGATTGGTTGCCTTACGATTACGCAACATGCAAACTTCGGATTTCAGCAACTCACAATCTTTTTCGCCAGCTCTTTATCATTGCGATCGAAAACTTCTACTGCCTGGTTTCTTTTCGCTAGGTCGAAATTCTTCGGGGAACAAATAGCAATCGGATCGAGACCGGAACTGCTCACGATGACTACGTCAGATGTTTCCTCAAAGATATGGTGGACGATTTGACTTACAGTTTCAGCATTTGCATGGCAATTGTCGCAGTTGCTGTACTGGCCCCATAGACCAATACATAGGCAGGCTTCGCAGCTCCTTGACCGGGCAGAGGCAAGCCAAGCAGCTTCATGGCGATTCCGGCGGTGCTCACTCCCACAGGTAGAGATGCAGCTGCTTCAGTGCTCCAAGACTCTGGAACCTTTGTCCACATCTTACCACGGGTCACAGCATACTCGCAGAATGCACCGCGCTCAGGCGTGGTTCCGTACATCTCGTTCTGGGCACCAAAGACCCTATCGCCAACCGAGATATTGTCAACCTCATCTCCCACGGCGACCACGGTGCCTGCAAAATCTGCACCTAGGATGCCGAACTTTGTCGCAAAGGCTCCCCTCATCTTGGTATCACTCGGATTGAGGCCAACGGCCTCAACGCGAACCATGACTTGATCCGCTGGGATCTTGGGACATGGTGCCTCGTCCCAGATGACGACCTCGTCCTTGCCATTTACAACGATGGCCTTCTGAGTCGTCGGAGGGACAAAATTTTGATGAGAAAGACTGCCCATGCTGAAATTTGTCGATGGTGACTTGGAAAATCAGCCCGGAATACCTTGTTTACCTTATCCTCTGTAGCTGCTTCATACCTGTTAAACCACGTCTTCTCACTTACCTACAAGAGAGCACTCTCCATCGACGTTCTTCAAACAGTCTTGGTTCATTCACCCACTCATCCACTCTACCCGAACTTGTAATCTTCGATCAACACAACTTCTACAATATCCCTGAATCGGCAATCCCGCTGTATCTCGCAAGAATACTCGGGTCTTTACAAGGGAGTACGTAACTAGTGGGACTCAAATTCGCTACTCGGACAGACTTATACAGCCGTACGGATAGACAATCTCGCAAATCTGGGAAAAGCATAACCGGCTGTACTACACATATGTGGACTCGGGGACCTGTGGGGATCGCAATATGTATTAGCGCTTTCTGTACCCTCTAGTTAGTAGGCTGTATCCATAGGACAACGGCTCAAGGAGTTATGGATCCCAATGTGGTCTCTGTGGTCCAAATTCAAACTTTGTTTTGACTTTCCTAAAGTGAGTATTCAACACGCGGTTACCTCTTCGTCGGGCACATTCACGTTACTACGGATACTTCGTAGATGCATCGATCTGATCCCTCCCTTGTTCGTCTAATTTTCAACCGGGGCCATCCTTGATGATGAAGACAAATCATCACGGGGTCATTAAGGTCCTGTTGCCGCTTACTACTGGGAAGCTTGGTATGGTATTCTTTGTTACAGCTCGCCTATCATGATGCATACTACCCTTTAACTTTGCAAGGACCCCAAATCCAGGGTCCATCGAGGAAATCTTGAACCTATCAAGTAGAGTTTGGGGATCTCAATAGACTTTCGGATGGCTCCGCTGATTATCATTGGAGTGGGATCCTTTCACCTCCACCTCTGAGAATACCCCAGTTGTTCGAGTACCTGTACTTCTCTGCCCAGGCAATAATCGCATCCCAGTCCTTGCATTGATGTTGATAACCCCACCCCGTCCCGACCTGTTCGTTGTACTTGCGCCACTCGAGCGTCACATCTGCATTACACATAATAGTCTGTCGTAGATAATCCCAGCAATGATTGAGATGCTCAGAATTCCAACCAGGATCTGTAGGCAATTCTCTCTTTGCCCCCTCGTTCTTGTTCAGGCGGTCGATAAGCTCATAGTATGCGTCCATAGTGCTATACTATTGTAGGGGTAACATTAAGCCAGAGTTAGCAGCGATTCAGTTATCTTGGGAGGCGAAATTCCGGCGTTGTGTGCGAAAGGGAGAATGAGGCTATTCGGTGTGACGTACAAGACAATGAAGTTGATGAAAGACCGAGGGATACGCGCGGTGTTCCGGAAGTGATTGATTCAGCCCCGGCAAGTCAGGTAGAGCAGTCTCGTTCTTGACCGTAACCCAACCCCGCCCAACTATTATCAGATATCAGCAGTCTGCCTGACGTTAAGACTACTTGGAAATTTCCTTTCGTGGTCAATCCGGGGAGGTGGGGGGGGGGGGGATTGTTGTTGTTTACTTGGCAGCAATCTGTTCCATGCCTCGATACTTTCAGGGTTAGGAGGCTGGCCGTATAGTTTGTTCCCATGCAAGACCTTTTTCACAGGGACTATGATACCAAAGTTAGTGTCACATCAGTTATCAAAACAACACGTTGTCCACTTTGTCTGGATGTCCACACTTCTTCCTGGTCACCTTCATGGTTGCCCGGGCAGAGGAGATAGGAGATGGAGTTAACGTACTCTGGGGTGGGAACCACTCTGGTTGCGCCGGGTAAATAACCGTTGCAGGAGCCTCGGAGAGATAGAATGCCGGGCCGTGAAATACGACGAGAATTAAGACCGCCGCAATGGAGATGGCATTCGAAAGTGATAGGGTAAGAATGATCAACTGAGAGCGCGGCAACCGACTAGTGGCCCTGGTGGACCGTCCGTCGTCACAAGGTTCACGAGAATGGAGCAGGCCGGCATTTTCGTCCTCCGTAGTCGAGAGTCTCGGTGTATCAGCCATGTTCACGCCGTTCTCTTCGTTTGAGAAGATCTTGGCGGATTTCGCCATCATGCTTCCCTGTCGTCAGAAGTGGGTAGTTTGAATGGGGGATATGTTAGTTGTCAGTCTTTCCTCAGAAGTAGAAGGTGTTTTTATAACCATCTCGGTGGGAAAAGCTGGTCGCGTTAGGTCAAATTAGGTAAATTCGCCGTGTGTGTAATGTTCCTTGCACGCAGACCATACCCACAGCAGGGTCCTCTCTCATCACATTTGACTGAGCAACATTCATGTACAGTGTTTCGGCGTACTGTGACACCTACATCCAGATAGAGGTCTTCAAGTCGAAGACGAGATGCTCCGTCAGATTCACCGGTCGATGTAGTTAACTGGAATCCGAGTCTCGGGGCTTAAGAACTCGTGGTAGAAGTCTCTTGTTATTTGAACCGCTGAATGATTTCTACTTAACTCGTGTTCCACCCACTCGCTGACTCATTATTTCCGAAACATTCATCTAAGTCTCTCAGTTCGGCTTCTTCCCGATCATTATCAGCGTCATGTCGCCGAACGAGCCCATTGTTGTTGTTGGAAGTGCATGCCGGTTTCCGGGCGGTGTTGATAGCCCAGCAAAGCTATGGGAACTCTTGAAAGAACCGAAAGATTTGCAATCTGAAGTTCCAAAGGAGAGATTCAACATCGACGCGTTTTACCATACCGATGGCTCTCACCATGGCAGGACCAATGCCCGTCACGGATACTTTCTCGATGAGATGCCGAGGGCTTTTGATGCGTCGTTCTTCAACATCCAAGCCGGCGAGGCAGAGAGCATAGATCCGCAGCAGCGTTTGCTCCTGGAAACCACCTACGATGCTGTGGCCGCGGCTGGATATGGACTACACGACCTTCGCGGTTCTGATACCGCGGTTTACGTCGGCTTGATGACCCACGACTTTGAGCTCGTCAAAGTCAACGACATAAGCTACAGCCCAACGTACTTCGCAACGGGTGCCGCTACAAGCATTGCGTCAAATCGTTTATCATACTTCTTTGATTGGCATGGTCCTAGTGTAAGAATGCCGTTTAGTTGAATCCACGGCTACTATCTCAATGTTCTCAAGCTAATCATGGTTATAGATGACTATTGATACTGCATGCAGTTCCTCTCTAGTTGCGGTGCATCTTGCGGTGCAACAACTGAGGAGCGGATCGAGCAAGACAGCTATAGCAGCTGGCTCCAATTTGATCTTGTCTCCAAGTACGTTTACGGCCTTTTCTGAAAGACGAATGACCCGGAAAGACTCACATTGCGATTCTCATAGTGAATTACATCACGGAGAGCAAGCTGAACATGCTTTCACCCACGGGCAGATCCCGAATGTGGGATGCTGCAGCCGATGGGTACGCGCGAGGTGTAAGTCCTGTCCTCCATTGCCTGTCGTGCATGATCCATGAGGACATAACTGTGCGGCGAGCGATTGGCTCAATCGTCGGACTTTCACTGACCAAGGACACAATGTCTGTCAACAGGAAGGTGTTGCCACTGTGGTCCTGAAGACGCTTAGCCAGGCACTGCTTGATGGCGACTCCATTGAGTGTGTCATCCGTGAAACGGGCATCAACCAAGACGGACGCACAACCGGCATCACGATGCCGAGCCATGTTGCTCAAGAGACCCTTATTCGCGAGACTTATGCTCGGGCTGGTCTAGATATTGCGCAAGCTGAAAATCGCTGCCAATTCTTCGAAGCTCATGGTAGGTACCAAGCATGAGCGTGGGATTTGAACGTTTGCTTACCACCGACTCACAGGAACTGGAACGCCAGCAGGTGATCCTCAGGAAGCTGAAGCAATCTCGAAAGCTTTCTTTGGCAGCCAGGATAGTTCAGACGGTGAGCGCTTGCTTGTAGGAAGTCTGAAGACCGTCATTGGACACACCGAGGGCACTGCTGGTATTGCCGGCTTGTTGAAGGCCTCACTTGCTGTACAGAACGGCGTCATTCCTCCCAACTTGCTGTTCGAAAACCTCAGTCCCAAGGTTGCGCCCTTCTACAAGAACCTCTCTATCACTAAAGAGGCTCAGCCGTGGCCAGAACTCAAGCCTGGTCAACCGCGGAGAGCAAGTGTAAACTCGTTCGGTAAGCTCTTCAGTTAGATCTGTTCTAGACGTCCCAGACAATGCTAACGAAGGAAAGGTTTCGGTGGCACCAACGCCCACGCTATAATTGAGGAGTACAAGACCTCGGCTTCGAGCACGGGAATCACGTCGAAGCCAGAGTCTCAGATCACTTCAGCTGCATATGCCTTGCCTCTTGTGCTTTCTGCCAAGTCAGAGCGTTCGCTAAAGAGCCTGATGAAGCAGACTGCTCAGTTCATCAAGTCTCACCCGGATGTCGACATGCTTGATCTCTTTTGGACGCTCCTTCGCAAGCGATCCATCCTCCCTTACCGCCACAATGTCGTTGGATCTTCCAGGGAAGCTATCATACTCGCCTTAGAAAACGCTATTTCGGAAAACGCCAGCTCAGAGCCCACCTTGCGCTCCTTCACCACCAGCCAGGAGAAGCCTCATCTCTTGGGTGTGTTCACTGGCCAAGGTGCTCAATGGCCTGGCATGATGAGATCGCTCATCTTAGCGATACCTCAGGTTCGCGACATCGTGATTGAGCTTGACCGCTCGCTCCAGACATTGCCTGTCGAATACCGCCCTTCTTGGACCCTGTACGAGCAATTTTTGCTCGAGGATGAGGCCTCCAATGTTACCAAAGCCAGCTTTTCTCAACCGCTTTGCTGCGCTGTACAGATTGTTCTGGTGCGGCTACTGGCAGCTGCTGGTGTTGAGTTCACCACGATTGTCGGTCACAGTTCAGGCGAGATAGCGTGCGCCTTCGCTGGAGGCTTCATCAGCGCCTCACAGGCCATCCGAATTGCTTACCTCCGAGGCCTTACATCCAAGTATGCGAGCTCCCCGAACGGGGGCGAGGGAGGCATGCTTGCGGTAGGAACTTCACTAGAAGATGCACAGGAGCTGTGCGAGCTGGAGATGTTCCAAGGCCGTATCTGCGTTGCTGCTAGCAACTCGCCTGACAGCACCACCATATCCGGTGATGCAGATGCCCTTGCAGAACTGCAGACTATCTTGGAGGATGAGTCCAAGTTTGTCCGCATGCTCAAGGTCGATAAGGCTTACCATTCACACCACATGCTCTCTTGCTCGTCGCACTATATCAAGGCTTTGAAGGACTGTGGCTGCGACGTCGCTGATGGAGTCGGTTCTTCAGTAGCATGGTACTCCTCTGTGCATCAGAACAGACGCATGAAGGCAAGCGACATCACCGCCGAGTACTGGAATGAGAATTTGATCTCTTCTGTTCGCTTCATGCAGGCTATTGAGGCCGCCGCAATCGAGCATAAATCGCTCGATGCCGCCATTGAGGTGGGCTGTCACCCGGCTTTGAAGGCACCTTGTCTGGCGACCCTCAAGACTGTTCTCTCCGAGGAAATTTCTTACACAGGTTGCATGCAGCGTGGTTCCGATAATGTTCAAGCTTTTGCCAGTGCTGTTGGATGTCTTTGGGAGCGTCTGGGTCTGAACGCCGTCGACCCTAATAGCTTCATTACCAAAGTGATCGCGCCAGGAAAGAGTCTTCGAAGCCTGTCCAAGGCCTTGCCCCGGTACCCCTGGGACCACAGCCGGACTCACTGGAACGAGACACGCGCGATCAAGGCTCATCTCTACGGTCCAAAGCCTCATCTCCTTCTAGGCTCCCTCTCTGCTTCGAGCACCGGTTCGACATCGCAATGGCACAACACTATCCGGCCTAGGGACCACGAGTGGCTGCAAGGCCACGCGCTTCAAGGCCAGGCTGTGTTCCCCGCTGCCGGATACATCGTCATGGCAATGGAGGCTGCTCTTCAGATGGCTGGTGGGCGTTCCGTTCAGCTACTTGAGGTGCTTGACATGAGCATTGATAAGGCTGTTACATTCGAGGACGAGAACAGCCCGGCAGAGCTCATCGTCGCGGTAGACACCATTGCCTCTCAGCCAGACCAGATAAAGCTCAGCTTCACGATTGACTCATGTCTTGCCAAAGAGTCAAAGCCGTCAACATCTGCTACCGGTCAGCTCGTTGTCACATTCGGGGACTCTTCTACAAATGTCCTGCCACCCGCAAACGACGACCCTCCGCACCTTACAACAGTCAACATTAAGAACTTTTACCGCGAACTGGATGAGCTTGGATTCGATTACAGCAAGGATTACCGCTGCATCTACAACCTCGCGCGCGCCGATGCGAAAGCTATTGGCCACATGGCCTTCCCGCGTCTGGATGATGGATCTCGTCCAATCGTGTTGCATCCAGCTTCTATGGACTTGGCGTTCCAGACCATCATGGGTGCCTATTCAGCCCCAGGAGATAAGCGCCTGAGGTCCATCTATGTGCCTGTTCACATTGACCGGATCAGTCTCGTCCCAGCGCTCTGCGTTTCTGTTGCCGAATCTGACTCGGCTCCTATCGTTCACTTCAACACGGCGAACACGTACGATAAGGGTGACGTTTTGGCCGGAGATGCCACGGTCTTCTCCTCGGGCGATGAAAAGCAAGTTCTCTACCGCATCGAGAACCTGCTCTTGCAGCCACTTTCCAAGCCGTCCGAGGCCGAAGACCATAAAGCCTTCACCAAGACAGTTTGGGGCCCCTTGAAGCCCGAAGGACTCCTGGACAATCCGGACCTCTGGGCTACTGAGCAGGACAAGCAAGTGATCCCCATCATTGAGCGCATCTGCTATTTCTACATGAAGGAGTTTGTCAGCCAGCTCACTGAAGAAGACCGCGCCAACGCTACGCTGCCTCACCAGAGATACATCTACTGGAATGAGCACGTCTCGGCCAAGGTGAAGGAGGGAACCTGGCATGAGTGGTATGATCCGTCTTGGGAGTCAGATACGCGCGAACAGATCGAGCAGTTGGTTGTAGAGTAAGTTCCAAACAATACTCTAGCTTTGGCGCTGGTTGTTGCTAATCACATATGCTGCAGGAACTCCTACCACCCTCACGTCAAGATGGCGAAGA